GGGGAAATGCTTAGTTCCTCCGAGTCCAAATGAACCCCGGATAGGCAAGGGGCAACACTCTTACTTCATGGAGGTCAAGGCAAATACAGTATGTTGTGTTTTCCTACTTATTGATGATTCTACATACAGTAATATTGTAACTATGAACAATGGTACCGTTAGTTACGTGCTGTATAACGACGTTCCGCAAACTATGGTCTATTTGGGCCGCGAAACATTTTAAAATATGTAAAAAAATATCTACACTAAATCAAAATGGAATATTCACTGCCTGTTGGATCCCAGTTTTAGTATTGCAGGGGTTCTGGAGGCTTAACAGTATAACCAATCCCCGTATTTCTGATAGATTGCTGATTAAAATGTAAAATATTTAAGATTTTATATTCAGTACATTCTGTTATGTAAATCTCATATATTCCAAAATTACGTTATATTCATGCACCGAAGTAGAAAGTTTAACTTAATAATTTTGATATGTTTTATGTTGAATGGTTTTTAATGATATTATTACAGTCTAATATGACCACAACATAAGAAAGTCCTCTCCTTTAAACTTCTAACCCACTAAACTTTGCGTATCTCAATATACATATATTTCCTTAAATCATGGAAGCCCAATCGTTAAATTAGTATATATAGTATAGAGAATTTTGTCTGTCAATCTCAGATATTCAAATTTTAGGAAATAAACGTTTTATGCATGCACCGACATGAGAACTTTAACCTAATAATTTGATATGTATATGTTTTATGTTGTAATACCACACACAAATGTATGGTATTATTTATTTAATAAAATAATACCGGTATTTAATTTGTATACAATAAAATTTTATCACTAAGAGAACAGATAATGATGTCAAAATATTGTATATACATGAAGGCTTCATGATCAAAAATTCTTGCCAAGATTTGGTATGTTGGTCCCTGGCGCGGCTGGGCTGCTGGGCCGCGGCTTGGTGCCTGGAATCGTAAATAGGCCGTGAAGTAAAAAGTTTGCGGAACATGTTAAAACAAAAAACATGTACCTTTCAATATTTAATAATAGGCTCTATTAGGCCTATCTATTTTCTTTCTCCATGATTACAGTAACACTATTAAAATTCAGAGACGGACAAAAATTTACTTCCGCCATAATATATTGTACAGTAAGCCTACGATTTCTGGATCACTTTTTGTTCAGTCATCTAATAGGCTTGAAAATATCAATATAAAGACGTTTGAGCAACAAAATCCATTGATTGTTTTTAATAAAGTGTCACTTTGATACGAAAAATTATGTTGCTCTGAAACATGATAAGGCCAATCTGAATAAAATGACCATCGTCCTTTAAGGTCCAATTGATGATGTTGCAGGCGTTTATCGTCCGAATATCCGAATTATTAGTAGGCCTATAATGTACAATACATTATTTTAATCGATTTCAACATGCTGTGTATAATATTTAATAATAGGCCTACTATGATGGATAACCATGTATTTTATTCTTTATTTATTGACATGTTGAAAGTCGGAGGCGGAATTAAGGTTGGTAGTTATGCAGCCGTCCGGGGCTCATACATTTTTGAAAAAATTAAAAGAAAATATTTTGTCAAAAGCGTTGTATTATTAGATTAAGTAGGGGCCCATCTTTCCGGGACTAATTTGGACATGAAGGTTTCCCCAGAAAGCACACAGGCATTACATAACTGGTCAAACCTCCATAGTCTGGCATCCTGAGGCATAGTTGAAAGAACCCCTTCTAATAAATCTGCCAAATATTGTGTTTGTAGGATTTTGGTCTAAGCCAAGGGTTTAAGGGTTTTCGGAAATTATACAAAAGGTTACGTATTGTTAAGCGTTATAGGAGAGTGTTGAGTATCAGCGTTACTGTAAGTATAAGTAGTGGCCTCTCCAGGGCCCATTTGGACTCGGACTTCACCCAGAAAGTACATGCGTTACTTAAGGCTTGGTAGTAATGTGCTAGGTAGTAGTAGGAGCGCCCCCACCCCACCCCGAGAGCTCACAAGTTACGCAAATGGGTCCTGTTTAATTTAATATGATATGTCATAATTGGACTTTAAGGGACAATATATGAAACACTACATCGTTTCTGATATATGTAAACTGCAATACATTATATAGCATTGGAAGAGCTTTCCAACGATACCAAACACGACTAATTTTGGTAAGTTTATATACTTATTCTTATTTTATGCAAATTTAAGTATATTTTGCGGTTATTTTAAAACAAATAAACACATATTTTTGAATTATGTTCCATTCTGGCATGAGTGACAGTAGTTTTTATATGTCTGGTTTGTTGCTTGTATAGAAATTATGAGTTTAGACACCAACATCATATCTGTAGCTTATTTAGTTCTAATTATATGCACATTTTAGATAATTTTGGCGGCCATTTTGAAAAATAGCCGCCATTTGTATACAAGGTGAAAAATCAAGTGTCAACAGGGCTTAGGATGACCAGGACGGATTAATTAGGATATCTGGCTATGTTGACTGCTTCTAACATTCCACTCCCCCTAACCTGATTTTTAGACCTCTTTTTTTATTTTTTTCCTAGTCTATATAATACATTGATTATATGATATTTTATTGGTTAATTGGTTAGTTGGTTAATATTGGTTAGTTAGTTACTTTGTTTAGTAGGTTGATTATTTTGGTTGTTTGGTAATAATTGGTTGTTTGGTAATAATTGGTTGGTTGGTTAATTGATTGATTGAATGATTGGTCAGTTGGTTGGTTGATTGGTTGACTGACTGACTGATTGATTGGTTAGTTGGTTGGTTGATTGGTTGGTTGTTTACTTGTTTGTTATTGGTTGGCTGGTTGGTTGATTGAATGGTTGATTGGTTGATTTATTGGTTGACTGGTTATTTTGTTTAGTTGGTTGATTATTTTGGTTGTTTGGTTTATTGGTTGGTTGGTTAATATTGGTTGGTTGGTTATTTTGTTTAGTTGGTTAATTATTTTGGTTGTTTTGTTTATTGGTTGGTTGGCTAATATTGGTTGGTTGGTTATTTTGTTTAGTTAGTTGATTATTTTGGTTCTTTGGTTTATTGATTGGTTGGTTGGGTGGTTAATTGATTGAATGATTGGTCAATTAGTTGTTTGATTGGTTAACTGATTTGTTGGTTGGTTACTTGTTTGTTATTGGTTGGCTGATTGGTTAGTTAATTATTTGGTTGATTGGTGAATTGGTTGGTTGATTGATTGATTGGTTGATTGATTACAACACAATACAATACGATATACTTTTATTCATAATTAAAATTAAATCTGTTGAATTACACATACACATCTTAAAATGTAAAATATCTAAATATTGACAAAAATGACAATAAAAAAACAATCGGGTTCAAAAAGCACGAAAAAAGAAATGAGAATCCGTAGCAGATTGATTAGTTGGTTGGTTAAATGATGGTTAGTTAGTTGCCATGGCTGTTTGGTTAATTGATTAATTGACTGGATAGTTGGTTATTTCTGAGGTTGGTTTGTTGATTGATCGATTGATAGGATGGTTGATTGATTTTGGTTGGTTATACTGTTATTTCGTTGGCCACATCCGTCCTGTATAGGCTCATCTAGGTCTACATTCTCACTCACTTTGAATGTAGGATTTATTTGTTTTCAAACTATATATATGCCTAGTATGCAGCTACCATCATTATAT